TATTGTAAGCCGCCCTGAGTCCCCTCAGGGAAAAGGGCGGCCTATAAATGTACAATAAATACCAAAAAAAATAAAAAATCACCTTCCAACGACCAATAAGATCGCACAGGTTGGGCCTCCCCTGGGTGCCGTCGACCGGACAATGCCAGTTGGCGGCTCCCCGAGGGAGGGCCTTCTCTGTAGCTGCACCGGCCCTGTGGAACGATCTACCCACAGAGATCCGGACCCTCACCACTCTCCCGGCCTTCCGTAAAGTGACCAAGACCTGGCTGTTCCGGCAGGCCTGGAGCTGTTGATTAATATCCAGCCCCACTTGACTGAATGAATGATGTATTAATTTTATATATTGTATCTTTTTTAAATTTTTAAATGCTTTTATTTTGCTGTGAGCCGCACAGCGTCCCAATGGGAGTGGGCGGCATACAAATTTTATTAAAGTTGAAGTTGAAAGTTGACGTAGTCATGCAGGTAGGCGAGTTTTGCGTAGTTCTGCCTGACCTGCGCAGTTCAGGTACTAGGGAACGAGTCTGCTGATAATAGTCTTTTTACGGCGGCGAATGCGGTGGCCTCGGTTTTGCCCCAGGACCACTTCGCGTTCTTGGCTAGGAGGCTATGTAGTGGTTCAGCAACTGTCGCTTTCTGTTTGAGAAAGACGCTGCAGAAGTTAAGGAGCCCGAGGAACAGCTGTAGCTTGGTCTGATTTCGAGGTGTGGGGGGCTTCCTTAATGGCTTTTATTTTTTGTGAGGTCGGGTGAATCCCAGACCCATCGATCACGCACCCTAGGAATTCGACTTTGGGTACATTGACTTTACATTTTTCTTTTTTGAGGCGGAGGCCCTTGTCTCTGATTCTAGCCAAAACTGTTTGTACGCTCCAGCTGTTCTTCTGCCTCACTGATGTCTGACTCCGAAGGCAGCTGATAACTGCCAGACGGCCCTGGCTCCCTCTCTGCCTCCGACACAGAGCCCTCATCGGAGCCCTCCCTCGATTCTGGGATTGGCCCACGTTCCACCCCAACCTCCTCACTGTCCGAATCTGCTGCCCGCTGGCATGTCACAACAAGGACAACTTGCCACAAGACAATTCCACGCAGGATGGCAAGGATTAGGCCATAGCCAAATTTCTGAATGCATCTCCTTAATATTAGTTTAGTTTAGTTTAGTTTTGGTTTATTTGTATGCCGCCCTTCTCCAGGAGGGANAGTCAAGTAAACATCTGGCTGAGGAATGGTTGGGCAGCATCCGCTTTTAAAGGTATCGGTCAGACCTCTTAGCCAATGAGATCCAACCGCCGGAACAGAGGACCTTGGTGGAAACCTCTTGCAGCCTGTCAGTGGTGGTGGGGGGAATATCTAACACCCCTCCCCTCTAGGATGGAGCAGTCTAATTCGTGACGTAGTCACGCAGGTGGGCGGGCTTTTGCGTAGTTCTGCCTGACCTGCGCAGTTCAGGTACTAGGGAACGAGTCTGCTGATAATAGTCTTTTTACGGCGGTGAATGTGGTGGCCTCGGTTTTGCTCCAGGACCACTTCGCGTTCTTGGCTAGGAGGCGATGTAGTGGTTCAGCAACTGTCGCTTTCTGTTTGAGAAAGACGCTGCAGAAGTTAAGGAGCCCGAGGAACGCCTGTAGCTTGGTCTGATTTCGAGGTGTGGGGGGGCTTCCTTAATGGCTTTATTTTTTGTGAGGTCGGGTGAATCCCAGACCCATCGATCACGCACCCTAGGAATTCGATTTTTGGTCCATTGACTTTACAAGGGAGGAGGCCCTTGTCTTTGATTCTAGCCAAAACTGTTTGTACGCTCCAGCTGTTCTTCTGCCTCACTGATGTCTGACTCTGAAGGCAGCTGATAACTGGCATATGGCCCTGGCCCCCTCTCTGCCTTCGACACAGAGCCCTCATCAGAGCCTTCCCTCAGACTCCAGGACTGGCCCAGGTTCCTCCCCAACCTCCTCACTGTCCGAATCTGCTGGCCCCTGGCATATCACAACAAGGACAACTTGCCACAAGACAATTCCACGCAGGATGGCAAGGATTAGGCCATAGCCAAATTCCTGAATGCATCTCGTTAATATGGAGCACTTATCATAGTTAATTTTGAATGAATGGAAACTCAAAAGAGAGAGACACACACAGAGAGAGAGACAGACACACACACACACAGAGAGAGACAGACAGACAGACACACACACACACGGAGAGACAGACAGACAGATGGAGAGAGAGAGAGAGAGAGAGGGAGGGAGGGAAGGAAGGAGGGAGGGAGAGTGAATCTAGAATAGAATCCACTATTTAGAGGATCTCCATAGGGAAATCAAAGAGAAAAGATCAACTCAAGTTTGCTACAAGTTAAAGACNTCCCTTCCTTCCTTCTATTTCTCCTTCTCCAAGTCCCCTTCCTTCTTTCCTTCCTTCCTTCCTTCCTTCCTTCCTTCCTTCTATCTCTCTTCCTTCCTTTTGTCCTTGTCTTTCTCCCTTCTTTCTCTCCTCCTTCTCAGAGCTTCCTTCCTTCCTCGCTTCCTTCCTTCTCTTTGTCCTTCTTCCTTCTTCTCTTCCCTCCCTCCCTTCTATATCTCCTTCTCAGAGCCTCCTTCCTTCCTCCTTTTTCTTCTCCTTCCTTCCGTTTATCTATCCTTCTCTGAGTCCCTGTCCTTACTTTCTTACTTCCTTCCCATCTTCCTTCCTTTTGTCTTTATCCATCTCCCTTCTTTTTCTCCTCCTTCTCTGAGCCTCCTTCCTTCCTTCTTTCCTCCCTCCTTCTTCTTCCTCCTTCTCCTTCCTTCCTTCTATCTCTCCTTCTCCAATTCCCCTTCCTTCCTTCCTTCCTTCTTTCCTTCCTTTTGTCCTTGTCCTTCTCCCTTCTTTCTCTCCTCCTTCTCCGAGCCTCCTTCTCTCCTTCCTTCCTCCCTCCTTCTTCTTCCTTCGTCTCCTTCCTTCCTTCTATCTCTTCTTCTCCTTCCTTCCTTCCTTGTCCTTCTCCCTTCTTTCTCTCCTCCTTCTCCTTCCTTCCTTCCTTTCGTCCTTGTTCTTCTCCCTTCTTTCTCTCCTCCTTCTCCGAGCCTCCTTCCTTCCTCCCTCCCTCGTTCTTCTTCCTTCTTCTCCTTCCTTCCTTCTATCTCTCCTTCTCCTTCCTTCCTTCCTTGTTCTTCTCCCTTCTTTCTCTCCTCCTTCTCCGAGTCTCCTTCCTTCCTTCCTTCCTTCGGGGGGCCAGCCGGGACCAGCTCCTCTGCAGCGCCGTCCCTGCCAGCGGAGGCGGCGACAGCAGCGAAGCGGTTGCGGCGGGCGCGGGGGCGACCGGCTGGTTCGGGTGACGGAGAGCAGCAGCTGCCGCCGCCGCAAGAGGAGCCGCTGCTGGACGGAGCCGCCGGGACAGGCTGACCAAGACGGACCGGGCGTGGAGCACAGGAGCTCGGCCGGGCGACGAGCAGGTAAGGGGCCCGAAGACCGGGGCTGGAACCCCCCAGCGACCCTAGGACGCTGCTAGCGCCGAGGGTGGAAACTCCCGCTGCCGCTTTCCACTCCGCGATTCCGGCGTCCTACTCGGAGTTGCTGCTGCCGCTTGCTACGGCTGCGCTGGTGGGCAGTTTCCCTTCCCCGACCTTACTTTGTCCTACCTCCAAGGGGGGGGAAAAGCCAGAGGAGCAGAGCTTGGAGCTGGGGGTCGGGAGGAAGCAACTCTCCCACCTCAAACCAGGTTACAATCCGTTGGAATCAGGGTTTACCTTCTTTAGTGAGGCTGCCTGGACGCGAACCAGTTTTGGGTGGCTTGATACCCAGAGGAAAGGTTGCCAGTTTTTAAATCAAGGGTCTCTCTCAGCTTAGTTCTTTTCCCCCAGCAGACGTTTCATGACCCAGTTAGGTAATATCATCAGTGTTAGTAGGCAAGCGGGTTATCCCCCCCAGTGTATATTTTAGTGCAGAGGTCTTCAAACTTGGCAACTTTAAGACTTGTGGACTTCAACTCCCAGAATTCTCCAGCCAGTTTATATTCTTAGTACAGAGGTCTTCAAACTTGGCAACTTTAAGACTTCTGGACTTCAACTCCCAGAATTCTCCAGCCAACTGGCTGGAAAATTCTGAGAGTTGAAGTCCACAAGTCTTAAAGTTGCCAAGTTTTGGGGACCCCTGTGCTAGTGGCTTGTTCTGTTGGTGTAGGTGGGGGTAGTCTTAGAGGTTCTTTGGTTGGGCCATTTGGCAGTTTGGAGTAGAATCGAGCTGGAAGGGACCTTGGAGGTCTTCTAGTCCAACCCCCTGCTCAAGCAGGAGACCCTGCACCATTTCAGACAAAGTGACTGTCCAGTCTCTTTTTAAAAACCTCCAGTGATGAAGCACCAACAACTTCTGGAGGCAGGCTGTTCTACTGGTTAATTGTCCTAGCTGTTTAGAAGTTTCTCCTCAATTCCAAATTGCTTCTCTCCTTGATTAGTTTCCCTCCCTTGTTTCTTATCTTGCCTTCTGGTGCTTTGGAGAATAAGCTGACCCCCTTCTTCTTTGGGGCAGCCCTTCAAATACTGGAATGCTGCTATCATGTCCCCCCTAGTCCTTTTTTTTCCTCTAGACTAGCCATACCCAAATCTTCCAACTGTTCTTCGTACGTTTTAGTCTCCAGGCCTTTAATCATCTTAGTTGATCTTCTCTTCGTAGTAGTTGCTTTCCTTGCTCGGGATGTATGGTTTACTTCTTCTTCATTGCTGGTCTGGTCTAATCTTGGAGTTAAATCTACGTTCATCTTGGTTCTGATTGCTGGTGGGGAAATGTTCTGGTCTTTTTATTTCCTTTTTGGCTTGTTGATTGCCTCTTGTGCATAATATATGTGTTAAGTGCCAAGGCGTTTTTAGACATGGCTTGGTCTAGGATGGCCCCTGTTGAAAACTATGGGGAAGCGTGTCTAAGTTAGGGGGTCAGCCACCTGTGGCTTTGGCGCCACAGGTGGCTCATCCATTGCTCTGCTGCAGCTCCCTGCCACCGTTCAGCTCCACAATTGATGGGGCTTTCGGTTAGCTGCAGGTGGAGGAAAAAGGACGCCACGTTAGGAGGAGACTCTATGGGGAACTGGACTTCCAGTCAGCTCCAGAATTGAACCGAGGGCTTCCGGTTAGGATTTTTGTGGCTCTTTGAGTGTTTAAGGTCGCCTGGTCTACGGGTTACGAAATGAAAGAGTTTTCATCCGGTTTTCTGATCGCTGGTTGGTGTTCGTGGATGCTTTTAAATCAGCCAGCGCTTTTCGCCAGAGATTTTGATCATCGCTGACGGTTTCTTGAATTCTATCCATTTATTAGCTGCTTTGAGGGTGGAAGCTGCCGTTTTCGGTGTCTCCTTGTTCCTGGAAGTTGGCACAACCTTCCTTGGATAATGTCTTAGGCTCTGAAATTTTGTCCTGATCCTCGTCATAAGAGAAGAAGGAG